AAACCCAGAGATGGGCAACTGTAGCTGGAGGTGAATTCAAGTCCCCAACAACCAATGACTTCTTGTGCAGCTTTAGGCAAATTAGTTTTTCACAGTCTCAGTTTCCACTCTATAAAACTGGGATCAAAACAATTAGATTTCATATTGTTAAGAAGAAGAAGAGATTGGATAGCCTTCGGGGTAGGGCGGGATATAAATCCAAGGATAAAATAAATAAATAAATAAAATTTATACCCTGCCCTTCCTTCGGAGTCTCAGAGCAGTTTACAAACTCCTTTCCCTTCCCCTCCCTACAACAGACACCCCGTGAGGTAGGTGGGGCTATATACCATTCCAATTGTTAGAAAGATCTTGACCACACTTTGGTAGGCACTTTGAGATAAACAAGCTGACTTTTTCTGTTCCTCCATACATAGAATGGCCATTCGGATTTCAATTTCAGATCATAAACAAAGATACAAAGGTAATATAATGTAATATCAAATAATAGTTTGTTAAGCTGGAATTAAGACTATCCCTAGGTTCTATTCTCTCATTCTCCAATAAAGTTATCTATACATAACAGAACCAGCAGTGTAATGCACAGTGTACTCAGTTTGAACCAGGAAGATTCATGTTCCTGCTGCTAGGGATGCCAGCTCAAGGTTGGGAAATTCCTGGGGATTTAGGGGTGCAGCCAGGGAAGGGACCTCAGCAGGGTATAATGCCATAGAGTCCACCCTCCAAAGCAGCTATTTTCTCCAGGGGAACGGATCTCTGTCATCTGGAGATCACTTGTAATTCTGGGGGATCTCCAGGCCCCATCTGGAGGTTGGCAATCCTATCCTGCTCAGTTGCCTTTAACAAGGCAATCTAATCTCACTCTTTACTGGGTTGCTGACAGAATAAAATGGGATACAGCCTCATGCACATACTCCTCCTGAGGACATTCTTTTGTTTCTCCCCAATGAAAACACCGAACATTTTGAGCAGTTCCTATGAAATGTTTTGCCTTTTGGGATGAATGAAATGCTTTTAAAAATAAGGTTTTACTCATTCAAAAAGTACAGAACAAATATCATAATGAAAACTCCTATGCAATATATCCCTTATTTTGTCCACAATATACTAACATGTGTAATGTAACACACTATTGAAGAGTTCAGTTTCAGTATTATAAAGTTTACTGCAATATCCTGAGACTCCTGCTGTCCAAATAGCATTCTTTTGTTATTTTAGTATTGCTTTCTGCTCTCAACTTTGACTTTCTCCCTGCCTCTCAAATGGCAAAAACTAAGCACCAATTCACATTTTACAAAGTCTATGTTGTGGTCACCAGAAGGGCTTGGGATGAGACATGCACTCAGGGTTCTGTGTTAGGAACTCAGTTCCCAGTATGTGGAGACCCAAAGAGAATGGGGTGAGTTTAAGTCCCCCCCCCCACTACACTTTCCTAAGGAGGGTTGGCCTTGGTTAGAATTTGGATGGGAAACTCCCAAAGAATACCAGGGTTGCTATGCAGATGCAGGCAATGGCAAATCACTTCCGAATGTCTTTTGGCTTGAAAACCCTATGGGGTTGTCACAAGTCAGCTACAAGTTGATGACAAAAAAACCCCAAAACACAATGCATGCCATTACATTTAAGATCTTAACCCTCCCCCCATGCCTTCAGAAGCCGAGCTGCTAAATCCACTCCCTCTCACACTGTTGTTGTTGTTGTTGTTGTCGTTGTTGTTGTCGTCGTCCCCCCCCCCCCGTTTTTAAATTATTTTAGGATCTAGCCGAGCCGGTGTTATGACTTGGCAGTTTGTTTGTTTTAAAGTTTTTGTTCATCGCTTTGGAACTTCTAAAACAAAAGGCGGTATACAAATCTTGTAGACTCAAATGTCTTCTCTGCTTTCCCCCTGACAGGCAACCTTAGCAGCACCCTCCGGTGGTGGTGGTGAGGAGAGCCACAGGAAGAGCAGCAGCTCCGAAGTCTACGGAAAAGGATCCTTCCTGGAGGCACTAACTGCTGGCGCCGGCCAACCGAAGCCTCCCTGAAAGGGCGGCGCTTCTTAAGCAGCGAAGGCCCACATGTGCTGAAGGCCAGTCACCGTCCTCCAACTGTCAGTTATTCCCTCCTCAGAGCCCACCACTGACAGACAAGCGCAAAGACTGACACCTTGTGTCCCGGCGCAGAGACTTACGGTCGGTGCTTGCGGCCAGGCGGCTCTTTAGCGCCTGCTTCCAATCCATATCCCGCGATGCTTCCGCCCTAGCCAACCAACTGCACCGCTCCCTTCACCGCCACTAACCGTCGAACATCCGGACAACTGGTACCCGGATCACGTGATATGTTCCCCTCTGTACTGCCGCCATCTTACCTACTGGTAGAAAAGCCACGGCCGCAAAGGCCAACCCTTTTCTCAGAACAGGTGCCCCTAACCAACATGGCTATTATAGCCCGCAAAAAAATAATAATCCTGCCCGTTATCATTTCTCATTGGGTCCTGGAGATCACGGGTAATAGTCAGCTGAACTAGGGGAACAACTGACTGAATGCACCGAGAAGTTTAGTGGCGAAAGTCTTCAAGTGCACCTCCTGGTATATGGTTGGTTCTAAACCCGGGTAATGGACAATTATATGGAGTCGATGTCCGTATCATGGTATCTGTTTCTTTGTTGTGTGGATGTTGTAACCGAGTTAGTAGGATATTCTAACTTTACACAGGAGTTTCTCCTCGGTTGTTAATACGGACTACAAGTCCCAGCAACCTCTGCGCTCTAGGTTTCCGGAAAACGTTTTCTATACCATGCTGAGAGTTTGGCTGGCTTTTGCGAGCGGAGAGCTGCTTTTCGTAACGGTAAAGTACGGTGGTTGGTAGGGTGCATAGTTTTGTCTGCATAAGCTGTAACATAATAACGTAAGCGTGCGAGGGAATAGAAATCAGATCATTTCAGAACTTAGTTGTGTCTTTTTTGTTCTTTGTGCACTGAATGATAGATCAGAGGATGTCGACTACGATTCGTAAAAATTTCTGCGATTCGTAAAAAGTCTTTAGTCAATAGGGATTGTCACTCCTAATGGTTTCTTCTAAGGAAGAAGTAAGCAGGCAAAAACAACAATGGCCCTGGTCACATAGGCCGGATACGGGGGAGGCATGGCTAATTGCCCCGGTGCAGTTTGATGTGCGATTAAGCGATCAGACCTGCCGTAAACGAAGGACTGGAGGGGAATGCGCGATCACACCACAGGCGTCTGGAGGCAGCTCGTTGCAAACATTTACTAGTACCTTGGAGGTACTAGTTTTTTAAGGCGCATTGTCGGCAGTAAACCACAGGTGCGCTCCACTTCCCAGATGTTGGGGTGTGATCGCGTCTGGATAATCCGCCCACCATCCTTGCCTCTCCCGCAGCAAAGTTGCCGTGTGACCGGGGCCCAAGATTGTAAGTAGAGTCTCACTTATTCAGACTTCAGCTGCATGAGGATGAAGTGACTAGGTTCTGAGGTGGTGGACAATCACAGGTGGTCACATTTTGGAATGTTGTCAAAACGTCTCTATAAACAAAAATAGTGCAGTAAGCAAAGAGAGTATGCCTGCTATAGTGTTTTCCTATTTATACTTTTTAAATGTAATGGAACATTCAAAGTTGAAATCCACTTTCTGCAGGCTGAAATGGTGTAGTCCATTCTACCTCCAGGAGGGTTTGCCATCTCATTACCACCTCATTCTCCTATATGTGTAAACCAAGCCATGTTGAGGTATTCTGAGAACCAGAATGGACAGGTTGCAATAGCTCTGTGAGCTCAGACATTTGACTGTGTTAATTTGTATCACCACCAGCTTGTCTCTTAGCAGAAACATGGATCCTTGCAATGACATTAGGTTAACAAGATTTCCTGGGCCAGACCCCATCTTCTAAATGGAAAACTTTCTTTGTTGATTGAAGGCCACACAATGAGGCTTTCTCCCATGCCAGTGAATTGCATGTGTGTATGCTTGCACACAAGACTCTAAGCAGCCACAAGGATAGGGCCTCAAAGTATTTTGGAATGGGGTGAAAATTTTATTTATTTATTTATTTTTCACATTTGTATCCCGCCCTCCCCGGTGGGCTCAGGGCAGCTAACAGGGGCAAGGTCATTAGCTATGCCATAGGTAAAAACATACATAAACATAGTAAAAACATCCAAACACTAAAACCACAGTACTCAATCCATTACTAGTATCCTAAGTCCAAGATGGTATCACCACAGTTCCAGATGGTACTCTCATGGTGTATGTGTCCAATGGCGACGGCTTATCAGATCTTCTACAAATTCCAGGTTCTTCCTTGGGCCTCGTCGGTGCATCCTTTAAGATACCTTGACGGTGGTGGTATAATGGGGTGGCGGCTCCTACTCAAAGGCCTGGCGGAAGAGCTCCGTCTTGCAGGCCCTGCGGAATTGCACAAGGTCCCGCAGGGCCCGGATCTCCCCCGGGAGCTCGTTCCACCAGGTAGGAGCCGCCAACGAAAAAGCACTGGCCCTGGTCGCAGCTAGTTTGGTGTCCTTGGGACCCGGGATGACCAACAAATTTTGGGGATGTGTCCCATAGGCCATAGAGGGGGTAACATAAAATGTACCCTTCTCTGCATTGTACTATTCAGGGTAGTGGTGGAGGAGCAGCTTTTTGTTCATCTTGTTTAAATGTTGGCAGTCAGAGATCAAAGACAATTACATTATACTTCTTAACAGATGAGGATTTGGTCTGACTAGAAAGCTACTTGCTACCCCTAGGACTCTGAAACCTTGTTTTGTTGCACCATGGACAAGAAGAATTTCTCAGTTTGTTAAAATTATGTGGATATATAAATATCTATATGTAAAATCTTGTGCTGCTTCGGAGAAGTGTTAACTCATTGTTTTGCTTTTCTCTAGCTTGACGTGACTTCAATTAATATTTCACATTGTTGTACTTCTTGCTGCAGTGTGCATTTATGACAGATGAAAAAACATCAACAGATGTTCTTCAGCCTTTTGTGGAAAGAGATGCTCACATTTTGAAGTGATTGTATTGAGTCTTTTCTTCTGATGAGATTAATGAAACAGCTCAGTTTGCCAGTGACTTCTGTCCTATCTTGTCTCAAGATTTGACAAGATTTTCAATATTCTTTTGTACTGGGAATGATGCTTGTTCCTAGGTTATTCCATTAGAAACCTCTCTTGCAATTTGAACTTTTTCTGGTATCATGGCACTCTTCTGCCAAACTAGCAGTTTGGCATTACGGACTTCACTGAAGACATATCAGATGTTCTATCCCATTCTGCAGCTCCGCCAATTACCTACTGTTTTTGGGTGCTTAATTTGTACAACATCATCTCAGTCTGCAAAACCCATGGATCCCGAAACAATATGTAAAGGAACTCCAAAGTTAAAATCTAGAGAAAAAGAGGACGATAAAAGGCAGGGCAGAGCTGGAAGATATGATTTCTCTCCCCGCCCTTTCAATGTGTTTGCTGCTGGAGCTTCCAAAATGAGATCAACGACTCAAGACTCTCTTACAGATATAAAGAAACCCTGTTCTTCTAAAAAGATGATCCTCTGTCCTCCAGAAAAACCTTTGAGTGTGGAGGAGTGGGGAAAGATGATAGAAGAATTTGGAACAGTTAGAAAGTTTGAAGAGCTGATGTTCAACCAAATGATTGCTCACCAGAGTCCCATAGATGTGGCTAAATCCTTGCTTGTTGCCATTGCTGATAGACAGGGGGATATTGGGTATGCTCTCTTGGTGAAATACTTGACTCTGTGTGTTTCTCAGAAGGAGGTGGAAGAGATATATGATATCCATGACATTATGAAAACCAGATATAAGATTTTAGAGACATCAGCTTATAGTCTTCTGATCAGAGGTCTGAGTAGTTCTCAACGCTGGAAGGAGGCATTGTCCCTGCTGGAGGAGATTAAAAAAGTCATGACCCCTTCAAAAGGAAACTATGGGGATTGCATCAAGGGGGCCCTTATTAACCAGGACATAAATCTGGCATGCAAACTGTTTTATGAGATGGTAGCAAAGGATTTGATACCACACTTAGATACCATACAGGCTTTCTTTGACACTGGCAAAAGTGTGAGGGATGAGCAGTGGAAAACCAAACTCATTCATATCCTCTCCTACTTAAGAGATAATCAAGTATATCCCGGAGAAGCACTAATGCAGAGCATCAACCAGTGGTTTGTAAGGTAAATTTATTTATTTATTTCACTTATTTATAGCCTGCCTTTCTCACTGTGACTGAAGGTGGATTACAAGAGTACAGAAAAAGGAAAAAAATGTAACCATGTATTACAGGACATTGAATGATCAATGTAATAGGACTAGGAATACAAAACTGAATGACAATATGAGCAGCAATGTGAACATACTTTATAAGATATACAGTGAAGAATGCAATAGGACTAGGAATACAATATTGAGTGACAGTGCGCACAACAAACTGCTCAGTCCAGCGTAGTGCGAGCAGAATATGGGATTACAGAGGTATAAGGTAATATGGTACCCACTCCCTACTCCCATGTGATGGTGCCCAAGTGGACCATATACCTGTTACTAGTTAAGATGATTCAGCCTGATTTTTGTCTGAAGGATATTTACAGTCATATAGGCTTCAACATATTGAGTCTTATAAGCAACTTGTTAATCTTTAATTTTGTTTGTTGGTGGCAAGAAATAACCATGACATGCCACATTGTTAGATTCCCTCACTTTTGGTCTGTGTGCCTGGCATATAGAGCACAGCGAAATTTGGTTGGTCCACTAAAAAGATATTACATGGATTTTGTTATTGTTTTTTGGATTTTGTGAGGACTGATAATAGCTGCGCAGCATTTTCTGCACAGGATTGCAGCCATGCATCTTGCTTTTGAAAGCCATTGTGGTAGTACAGTGTGACTAAAATTTGGACTGGAGAGAACTGTGCCCACTCAGCAGTGTAGATCACTCTATCTCACCCTTCAAGATGGTTGTGAATAAAAAATGGGGGTGAGAAAGCCATATAAACTAGCCTAAATTCCTTGGAGGAAAGGATAGAAATATAATAAAACTAATAAAACCTAAGTACATTTTGTCTAATGTCACATGATGTTCAAATGGCCTGTGAGGAAAAACACCTCTGGCCTCCTCCTCAAGGGTTAGCATGAAAAATAGCAGGCCTAGTTCATCTTGCAGGTGTTACTAATTGGCCTCTTTGCCTTCTCATTCTCAAGGCCAGGAACGGAAGTAGTGTTATTAGATTCTCATTAGAACATGTGGGCTGGTGAATGGGAGGGGGGAGGGCCAGGGGCGATGAGGTAATTTTCTAGCGGCTTCTCCTAAGAACGCGTTCTGATTGAATGTCATCCTCACCTGATATTACTGGGCCAAAATCCCCATAATTTAGCTTAAGCCCTGAAGAAGACAGACTAGCTGAGATCCAGGCCTAAACTCTGACCAGCTTGTGTAGCAATTGCCAGCAATGTAGGTAATGCCTGTGCTTTGGCATGTCAAACTCATTTATTATGAGGGCCAGATCTGTCATAAATGAGACCTTGTTGGGCTAGGCCACGTGTGTCATAAAATGTAATGCCAGGTAGCAGAGATATAAACTTTATAAAGGACACAGGCAAGCCCAATTAAATATTTTTAAACTTTAAATAAAACATGCTTAAAACACTAGCACTCTTGCAATATTTTGTCTATTGAACAGTCTCTGATAACTGATATCTCTTGCTTTAATTATTGCATCAAAATATCTGTGCTGTAGCAATCCTGAGTATGCTGTAAGTGATTTATTGCTGTAAGTGATTTATTGACATTCATTACAGAAATCTCATGCTCAGTGTTCTGAACCTGGGCCCAGGGGGAAACATGAAATGGCTGGGCATTGCAACCTTTTGTACATAACTTGCTTCATGTGCTGGTCAAGAACATGAGAAGGCATCCTGACACAGACTGAGGGCCATGTGTTTGTCTACAAAACTATAGTCTTCCCCAGAGAAATAACTACAGCTTCCTACAAAGGAATTGTGCTGGGTGAACTTGGTCTGGACACATACTCTCAGCCTAATCCACCTCACTGGCTTGTTGTTATTCCTCCTCTAAAATAGTTCACATTGCTTTCTTACTGAGAAAGGCTGGACCATGAGGGCATGAATACAGTGAAAAGGGGGAGAGAACCGAGTTGCACCCAGGAGAGCCCAACAAAACACACACACAGCACACACAAGCTCATACCTTTATTTATTTATTTATGCTTTCAGCTTGTATCCCGCTCGAACCCCAAGGGGTCTCTGAGCGGCTCACAGTTACTCTTTATCCCTATCTATGGCCACACATATTCAGGGGTGGGGACTGCCCTACCGGCACCCAGTGGAGGGACAAAACCTGAACAAATCTTTGTTGGTCTTAAATGTGCTCTTTGTATTTCTCCTGTGTGATGAGGCGTCTTCTGCAGCCTGGCCAGGAAGCAAGCTCTGAGTGTTCCCTCCCTCCCCCTGGGAGGAGGAGGTAGAGGAGCCTCAGCCAGTTCTTTACCAGACTCTCTCCATCACAAAAGAGAGGCTTGCTTATCTATCTCTCCTGTGCGATTGAGAGAGACTGGTAAAGCAAGCTGTCACATGGTGGCAGCAGAACTGGAAAAGGAAGCAGGAAACAGCCAGGTCCTTGTGAGCTGGATTGGGGCCCTCTGAGAGTGACGGTTGAGCTAGTTTTTCTTATTTTCTTGCTGCATGATTTTGGGGTAGTTTTTTGGCTATATGACCTTTCTATTAATTGAAATTGAAATAGACTTTATAATCTTTTTTAAAATAAACAGCAGTCTGGTTACTTGTGTGCAACTGCTGTGAGGACCCACAGGATTTAGGCCTTGAACTCCTTGACTCGGGGAAATGCATAAGAATTGCAGCCCTAATGTGTTTGTACTGACAGGATGTTCTTTTTTCCCCTTTACCTCTGATTAGTTGTTATACTGAATTTTAATGTCTGTGCTATCTTTTGTAGTCTTCCTGGAGAGAACTGGAAAGGAAACTTAACTACCATAAAAAATAGGTAAATATATTCCTTGTTTAAAAACTCTATGTAATATTTTGCTCTTAAGTGCTTTGATTTTAAGAGCCAGTAGAAACGGTTCATGACCATAGCTTCAGATCTATGTTAGGCATGCCATTTTCTGACAAATTACATACCGGCAATTCTGAGATTTCTTTTGGGGAACTAATAACAGTACACTGTTCCAATCTACTCTACAGTAGATTCAAGCAGGATTTTTTTAAAGTTCTGTAACCACCAAAATAAGATTCTGAATGGTT